GCCTGCAGTGGTGTAGTTCACCACAGAATGATGACTATGCACCAGAGAGGGCGGGGCCACGCTCTGTCTGATAACTCAGCTTCATCTCCCTGAGAAAACACTGCTGCTGTTAAAAAAAAGACAAATGTTTCTCCCATACGAAAGTCCATAGAGAAAATAACACATTTAATCAATTTCGCATGAAAAAAAACAGTAATCAACAGTTCAGTATGTTGTGAAAATCAGTGTTTTTTCTCTAAAGACTTTGATTATATTAACGTTCCATTAATTAAATCTGTGACAATCTTTTCAGTTCTGGTTTATTGCAGACGCTCAGTGTTTCTTGATTATACGTTGATCATCTGTCTCCACGTGGACCTGTTCTGGTCTGAGTCTGGTCTGGTCTGAAAGAACAACTCGATCGGTGGATGAAGTTTTCAGCAGTCGTTCACGTTCTCTTCATCCGATTTAAAGCAAACTCACTTTCTCCAGTTTGGACCAAGAAGAGTGGAACTGATCATCAAGTCTGCCAAACAGCCAAAGGCTCTGTTCTGCTCAAGAGCAGATAAACGCTGACCTCTAGTGGAATTCTGAGGGAACCGGTCCTAGCTCCCTAACTCAAACTTGTCCAGAGACAACTGCTGATAACTCCAGACCACAGTGAGCCTTCCGACTTTATCTAACCCTTAACCTAAGACAAAAGCCCTGTTGTTATGAACCGCTGAGTCAAGAACAACCTACAAACAAAGGCCTTCTGGGGGAAGGAGTTAGGAGAGGGCTGCCATCTTGGAAAGGCCAAGTCTTTATAGTTTAGTTTAGGTGAGGTGGATCTCCCTGAAGAGCAGGGAGAACCTGTGAAGGGAGGAGCACACAGGAGCCAGCAGAAACACAACAACGTCAAGACTGATGGAAATATATTTACATACATGTTTCACGCTAATCTGTTTCCTTTTTTTATAGTGTTTGCCAATATTAAAGGTGTAGAGAATTTCTGTGAATTATTTTACAAAGGCAGTATGGAACAGCTGGAGATCTGTGATAAAAGAGGTTTAGAGACAGTAGCAATAGGCAGAAGACAGGAGGTGGAGCTGGAGGTGGAGCTGGAGGGGGCAGAGTTAAAGATGCTAAGATTCTCTCTAGGAGTGACAAGAATGGACAGGATCAGGAATGAGGTCATTAGAGGGACAACACAGACAGGAAGGTTTGGAGAAAAAGACAGAGAAGCCAGATTGAGATGGTTTGGACATGTCCAGAGGAGGGACAGTGGATACATTGGTAGAAGAATGTTAGAGATGGAGCTACCAGGTAGGAGAAAGAGAGGAAGGTCAAAGAGGAGATATATAGATGCAGTGAGGGAGGACATGCAGATAGTTGGAGTCAGAGTAGAAGATGCAGAGAACAGGGAGAGATGGAAATCAATGATTCACTGGAGCAACTCCTGAAAAAAGGGACAAAGCCGAAAGAAAATGGATGGAGTTTAGGCAAATTATAGCAAATCTGGTTTAGAGAACACTGATGTGTTCACACTGACCCGATACCTGCTCCTGTTCACACTGACCCGATACCTGCTCCTGTTCACACTGACCCGATACCTGCTCCTGTTCACACACTGACCCGATACCTGCTCC